TGTGGCCGGCATCCCAGCTTACCGTTGAGCAGAGTCTGGGTTCAAAAAGGAATGGCAAAGACAATAGAAAGTACTGTATTATGGGGGATCATACAAAGGCTACTATACGGTTTCATGCCTTCATTAATTGAAAACAAGAGGTAAGTACAACCGCATGTGATACGAGCAGACCAGCTGCTGCAATTTCTGTCCGTTCAGGGGTGTGTGAAGGCCCAAAGAAGAGAGAGCCAATGCATTTTCTGAACCAATCCTAAATCCTACTGTCCCTAGGCCTTGAAACTTCCCTGAACCTCCGCGTTCTCTACTAGAAGCTTGCCTTCTAATTCTTTTGGCCCCTTGCCATGATGCTATGTTACTGAGCACCCCCCACTCCCTAGCATGCCTTCTACATTTCTGTGAACAGCTGTTGGGTACCTTTGCGACTGTTGAGTTGAGAAGGCTTGAAGCTAGAGGAATTCGGGAAGTCCGGACTCATAGCATTAAATGGCCTGGTAGTTTCCCAAAATAGGGGGGACCCCAACATAGACCTCAACTATGGTCCTTATTATGGGTACCTCCAAAAACGTACCCCTAATTCCGGGAAACCCCGAAACGACCAGAAGTCAAGACTTGTTGGCCCTAATGCTTGCCCAAGATCGGAGATAGCCCAAAGCCCAGGATCCATGTTCCCAACACTTATAGGAAAGGCTCATCTTGCTGTTCCTTCCCATCCCTATCCCATGCTGGCTTTGAAGGGCAACGCCCATCACGATCGGCAGACAATTTCGTTTGTACTTCCTCGTGCCTGAGCTGTAACCAAGTGGAGGGACTGTTGGTATGGGACTCGGCGATGGGATTCCTGTTTGGATGGTCAGAGTCTAAGGTGTTTCGAAGCATGACGCGAAAGTTTCGGGCTGCTTAGAGCAAGCCAGCGCCTTTGGAACATAGCGCGATGCATTTGATTTACCTTAAGATCAAAGTGGAGTCTGGCAGTGCTGGCTACACTCTTTCCCATGACCTCGAGTAACCAATGGGCAGCAAGACTGTAAAGTTCTTGCGATGCCAATGGAGCTATTCCTCCAGGTCGTGCTGCCGCAGTCATGCGTAAATCAGCATGTTTAAACAAATGATTTCAGCCACAGGCTGAAGCCTCATATACACGAACGTCCGAGGGCTTGATATTATCTATGTGTGCGAGCTCAGATGATGCAAGACAAACGTTTTCGCCGAGTTGCCAATGTTTGTGCTTCATAAAATGCAGGTTCTCTTGCCTGACACCAAACTATTGGAATCCTTGTTGAGTGGCCCGCAAAATCAGCCCAGGACTTTGAAGCCCTCTCATGTTCCAGCTTGCCTCAGGGAGCAGCTTCCTGGGCTCTTTGCCAGCTACAAGCACCCTCATGTTTGGCACCATGAAGCCCCCACCCTTTTTTGAGACGGAGACCTTACAGCCTGAGGCCCTAGAGACGCCTATGAGCCGCCAGCTGACTGCGCTGCGGACTCTCACCCAGGTGCCTTGCGAGGAGGTTATCTGTATTGGAGTTGGCCTTAGGGTTGAAGGTTTGTGGTAGGTTCATCTTGTAGGAGTTAGCTAGGGTTTGGAGTAGGTTCGTTTCGTAGGGGCTAGCTGTACGGGGTCGGGGTTGGGTGTAAGTTAGAGTTTGTTTCTATCAACGTAAGATTCATGTTCTGGGCATCCTTATACTCAGGACTGTCGTCTGTCGGGGGAGTCTATAGTACAGGACCTCCTGTTCATAGAAACCCCGCTCAGGTTTTGGGATGGTTGAGGGTAGCGTTGAAGGTCGGGTTCAGGGTGTAGCGATGGGATATGGTTCAGAATTTCGGGTAGCTTGGGGTTTGGGGAGGGGTTGAATGTTTAGGGCCTGCATATTAGAGCGTTGACGCAAAGGTCCGTGGGATGCTCATTGCCAATCAGACCAAGGGAGCCTTCCCAGCCTTCGTGCTGGCTCTTGGCATGCCCAGGTCTAAGCTTAAAGATTTTGGGCTTGAGGCTTTGTAGTGAAGGTGTGGATGCTTTGGGCTCAGGTATGCAGGGAAGGGTTCTGCAAAGTCAGCGGCTTTCTGATTCTAAATGTACAGGTTCGGGCTTTTGAGCGAGCTAGCTATCAGATTTTTGGGATGAAGGAATTTCGATCAACGCGCATATATCCTCGAAAATAGATCTAGTAGATACAAGATTTTGCGAAGAACTGCGGTCCTTCCTTTTTGAAGTACGTCGTGCAATAACAGGAACCTCGAGTTGGAGAAACATCGTGGTGTTGTTGTAAGCCCCGTGAACAGAAAACCCTCTTCAAGTGAATAGAACATGGGCCAATTTTGGTGGGAGCCTTTACTGAGATGTGGGTCGCCGGATTTGTAAAATGTCCGAAGAACAATTCGGCCATAATTCAGCCCTGGACCCGGATTCCTTAAGAGGTGTCCGTTTTTATGGGCTGAAATGGAGCCAGCTAGGGTCCCTGTTGCCGTCGAGAGGTTAACAGCCTGGAATCACATCCTTGCCAGACCGCGCACGCCTTGTCATTTTCAGGAAACATTGCCCATGTAGCTGTGCCTTGACTTCAGGATCGAAAGTTGAGACCGTAAATTGCGTTAGGACACGCCAGGCCGCATGGGTCAGGACCTTGGGCTCGTGATGTTGCAGCGTTAAGACTCAGAGTTGTTTGTTAAGGATTCAGAGGCATTTCGAATGCACAGGCCGAATCCCGATTCTCTACTTGCCGTCCTAACCAGAAGAAGCCCAAGTGGCACACCCCAAATAGCAGGCTCCTCCTGGCCTATATATGTAGCCTCCATCCACTACTTGTCGTAAACTCAGATTCCTGCTATCCTGCTACAGAAATTGAGAAAGCTCGTCAATATTGAGAGCTTCAAGGCAACAATACTTCGTAGAAACCGCCCTTGTCGTAACCGCTCATTCCACTAGACCGCTTGACACGCGGCACGCGGAGAGATGAATTGAAATAACACACCCGCAAGTAGTTGAAAAACATGGGAAACCTTGCGGAGGATCAAAGCGGACCTTAAAAAGGAGCTTTCTCGCATCAGAGTTCCCAGAAGGGCCACAATATCCAACGTACATTAAACCTCAACACTTTTGAGTCACGCAGGTGAAACTTCCCGTCTGGAGCGCAAATTTCGAAGGTCGCAAGCCGACGTACACGTAGCCTGGCCCTGCTTGAGTGAAGTCAGTCCACACGGGACTGACTCCAGAAGTGCCCCAGATTCTGACCTTTGGGTAGCAAAGAATCAAGGAATGAACAGGAAAATAGAAACTAACATCTTACTGCACGAAACTGGAAGCTACTGTATTATTGAGGAGAATTTAAGGACTACTACAAGGACCCATCCTCATTCCTTGCTAACTAGAGGCACGTATTGCAAGATCTTGGCGAAATCTTAAAGGAGGTTGTGTGGGGATGCTACAGGGAGGCGTGAAATCCCTGTTGCCAGCTTCCTTCATTCAGCATCCTCTTCAATGTTGAATTGGATGAAGTTTTGAGAACCCTCACTTGCGCCAACGTGCTTCAGCATCCAGGAATCGAACGCTCAGGCTTTGCTTTGAGACATGGAACTGGGGTGTAAGGGTGGGCTTAGGATTACGGTTGTCTCTGCTTTTCTTGATGATACCTACCTATTGGGTCACATCGCATTTATCACGAGACCAGGCATACTGCGGATCTTACGTAGTCCTGCCTGCAGCCCCTGCGGCAAAGCCCTGATGTCCAAAGTTCATCCCGAAGCCCGAAGCCTGGAGCCCAGAACACTTACAGAACCTCAAACCCTGAAGTGTGAGCTCCGCTTCCCCCACCACCCGAATGGATGAACACAAGCCTCGTCTTTGTCACAAGTGGAACTGACATTAAATTCCTACAAACAATTCACAAAATACTTCTAGCCATTTTTGCTTAGGTTCTCGCAGAAAGTCCGGGAAGTCATCCTTTCAGAGCCCGATGATGCGCGCCAGCTAGCAGAGGAGACCGCGCTAGGCGGGGTGTGGTGTCTCTATATACAGATTAGGGGAGTAGATGTATGCTCACTGGCGCCTGAGTCCAGATATCTCTGCTTGGCAAGTAGGTGCAGGGATATGGTTCTTCAAGTGGGTTCAGGCCATTTGCGTTGTCTTGGATGTGGTAGGGGTGTCAGGAAGATGGGGCACCGATTGCGGGAACTGTAAGTTTCTTATTGAACATGGCAGGCAAGTAGGAAAGTCCGCGAGTTCTTTTTTTTCGGCTTCGCTGTGCCTTATGTTTTTCTGAACCTTTGGTAAGGATGCTGAGGAGCTACGGTCTTTCATTTTGAAGCGTGCTTGTTCCCTACGAGGCCGGGGAAAGTCACTGAATAGGAAAGTTATAGGGTAGCCTAAGCCTTGGGCCTACATAGCCTAGCATTAGTGATATGTGACAGGCTTTTTCAGTGCGCTTTGTAGACCTCCGTGAGCCGTTCCTATTGCCATCGTTCCCTCCCTTCCTGCCCATTTTGATTCTGAGGAAGCTGCTTTCGGTAGACATTTATCACGGCTAGAGGTCCCATGGCATATCAAGTTACGCGACTATACAGGCCTCCATGTCCAGAAGTTATTTCTTTGATGTCGTTCCAGTGTTTGTTCATTAGGTTGCGTACCTCATCCACTAGATGTTGACCATAAACTCAGCCCCCTCTCATTCCCCAACACAAGGGGCCCAAAAACGAGACCCTAGATTTTCAGAAATCCCCAATTGCGCAGATGCTGGACCTTTAGGGGCAGCCATTTGCGAGGTGGGCTTACCCGAGAGCATGCCTTGCAACACCTCGAGCCGCTTGGGCAGAATCCCTCAAGGTTTTTTGGTTGGCTGGGTCGTTTTGACTTTTGGGCTGCTTTTGAACCTTGTTGTCCTTGAGCCTAAGAACGACTGTAGTGAAGTTTGACATCATCTGGCCCGTGGCAGAATATTTTCTCATCATCACAGTAACAAACAGCACAGAACTGCACCACTCCCTCCGTAAAGCTTGTCCCATTGTCCCTGTACTTATTGCATGGCACCATGACCCCTGAACTTTGCCTACAGTAACCTTTTGCATGGGTCCACATAACCCCCAACAGAACATGCCCAATCCTCTTCAGCCCTTTTCTGCACCCTGAGTCCTAAAATCTGTAGTCTTAATACTGAAAGCTTGACACTCTGGACCCTGTTGAAGAACCCAAAGCCTCCACCCTCTCCATTCATCAAGCCTGAAACCAATAAACCTACAGATAGGCATAATGCTGCGTGTATTCAATCTAAGGAGATTAGCTCTTCAGCAGCCCTTGGTGGAGTCCCTGACCCCCTCACAGCGCGAGTCTGTCACCAAGTCGCTGCAGCAGCGTCTGAGTCTGATCCAAGGCACATGGGCCTCATCATATCATGTTATGTTTTCATGTAGATATAGTATACTGTACTGATATGTTCCCGTAGAGAGAGAGAGAGAGAGAGCAGCCTTCTCAGCAGGTACACTTTTCTTATGGGCCCGCTAAGCTATGACCCCACAAAAATTCCTACCGCTGAGAAACACGAGGAGTAGTTCAGCCGCACAGCCCTACAGGGGTTGGGCAGTGACGCCCGGGAGGGCCACCATGGCCTTCCCAAAGCCCGAAAGAAAGAAAGAGAGAGAGAGAGATCCATGAATATGGTATGCAATGTTATGGTATAGTATAACGCATTATGGTAACATAATTTGCTCCTACCTTCATGTTTAGTTAGCATTAATAAAGGGGGTGACAATAGCATGTCGTTGCCGGGCCGGAAAACTCCCGGACAATCAAATTTGCTTTCTAACAAGTTCGGAGCCAGAAAATCTATAACCAAGTCCCAATCGCAATAATAAAGGGGTGGCAATAATGTTATTCTCCGGCCGCAAACGTCCTGATTTTAATGGATTCCCTTCTACTTGCTCTACTAGTATTACGAGCCGCACTACCTGGTCCTACCCATGTCCCCGTCATTTACTATTGCACCCCCCCCTCTGTAGTAAACCAAAAGCGCAAAACAAGTTCTGGGGGGTTATCATTGCCATCTAAACATTATTCAAGGTGATCCAATGGGGTTTGGAGGTCGCTTTTTGTATGATGTGAAAAGGAATTTGAGGAATATGGCAGAATCTTTGCGTCTCCTACCTTGACCCCATGTAGTTGAACCTACCGTCAAACCTGGTGCAAGCTCCGTACGCCCCCGCACAGCCCGCACCCCAGAAAACTTGGAGATGAACAGTTGGGTGAGCGCCCTCATCGGCCCCCTGCTTGCCCTTTGTTTCCCATATGACACACGCCCGTACTATGCCCGCTTCCCTTAACTTTGGTGAGTCTTGAGAATGGCGATGCAACTTCTTACATTGAGGCTTTTCAGGAGTTGCAGAGTTCTTCTTGCGAGTATACTTGTGACTTCGAGTTTATTCAGTGGGTGCCCTGCTATTGTGGATACAGATGGCTGCTGCTTGGGATGAGCGTGTTGCTTCGTTGCCTCTCTGGCGTGGACAGAGAATTCTACAACATGTGCAACCTGCCTGCCTTCCCTGTAACAGCCAAGCACTATCAAACGGTCCAGTGTAGCAGCCCCTGCATAATCCCAAAGTATCAACAGGTCCGCCCGGCACGGGCAAGACGCATGTGGCATGTGCAGCTGAGCCGGAATTATCTGGGAGTGGCTGTGTTAAGCAGATTTGAACTGACGTGCTGGAATCCAATATCACTGTGAAAGAATGTGCCTTCTTAGCTTTAATGCATTAAGCCTTCTTTTGCTCAAGTGTGGATACCGCAGACACTTGTACACATTAATCACAACCCGGAACCTAGCCCACCCTCAAAAGCTGGACGAAGCGCGATGACTCACACAACATAGTTTCGGCCCAAACTCGTCAAGTCAGTAAAGCCGTTGTGCGGGCGCGTTGACCCCAGCTAGCGCCCGCGCGCTCTCTTCCCAGCCTCTGTTTGATCCTTGTTTCTTTCCTCCCGAGCCTTCTGCCCATCCTCAGGTCGCTAGCATACTCAAACACAAGAACCCTGTGACATAACCTGGACGAGCTATGTAGCATCATTTCATAAAGGCTGTGCGAGAGGTTCCCTATGATGATCTGGCGTGGCTCCCTTCTATGTACCCTGATGAAACCCCCATGTCTATTTGGCATGTAACGCGCTGGGGCTGCAGCTTACCTTATCTTTACTTTCGGAAATTCCATCATGGGACAAAGCTAGGCCATCCTGGCGATTTGGGCCAGCATCTTCGGTCCCTTGGGTGAGCGAATCCTGGCGGTGGCCGACTCGAACGTAGCTGCGGATAATCTTTACGCCGCTCGGCTGGGCGCGTCGGGTTTTAGGGTGTCTGGCGTGCAGGGTATGAGGTTTTGTGGTGTATGGCGTTTTGGGCTTCCTGATAAGTTATAAGCTTATGGAGTGGGATGTTAGTTGAAAGCTTACGTTTTGCAAGTGAACAGCAGACTTGTTTTTGGTCCTAGCTTAGTTGAGTTGGGGTAGTGGTAGTGCTTGGAGAGCCTGATGCCCGTTTGTTGACAAGGGTCGGCAATTCTCATAACTACTCTATTCTAGGATCGATCCTTTCTAGTGCGCTGGCACACCAAGGCTTTAAGCCTTCTCCAGGTAATACGTGAGGTAATCCAATCACAATTGACGTGGTGCTTTGTTTGGGTCACATGTATGTACATAGTTCTTGGCCTCCGAAGTTCATTCTGCCCGGTTCTGGAGGGAGCTCGCAGTGCTCGCTAGAAAAACTCTATTCTAGGAAGACAGATATTCAAAAGGGCCGGAATGCCTCCACGGATAGGAAAGGGCTGCATCAGTAATCCATAGAAGTTGTAAAATGGGGATGTGGGAGCTTGAGCAAAGACAGGGAGGGAACCCTCCGAAGAGACCCTCTTCTGTCTCTGTGCACACTACCGCAGGCCCTGAGAAAGTCTGTAATGAGCATGCTGTTTTCAGAAGCATGCGCGAGTTAGATGAGTTGGTGAAGACAATGGGCCGTGAAGGGGAGGAGATCCCCAGAGGGTGCATAATTTCCTTCCAAAAGATACGCGTACACATCAGTCGGGGTTGACAGCAGAGCCCTACCAGTAGCTTTGGCAGAACGTTGCCGGGTTCGTGGGGCTTCGTGGAACCTTCAAGGGCTTTGTAGAACCCGTCAGGGAGGGGGTTCGTAGCATTGGGTGGTTGTGGGTTCGACAACCTTGGGCTTACCCTAGACACCGTACCCACCGACGGTGCACACATACGACACGTACGAGTGGCCTCCAAAAGATACAAGTGCATTTAACTTTGCATGGTTTTTACTTGTGAGGTCCTGCAAGGCGTTGACCGCTCCAGTGTTGTCGCTGGCGCATGCCTTACACGTTGGTAAATTTTCTGTGCCTGTGTGAATGTGCAGGCAAGATTGGAGAAGATGGGTGTCCTGGCTGATTATTGCAGCATCTTTGAGTCGGCCGGTTTATTGCATGCTCATACTTGAAGTAGGTTTGGATCTGCTCTTGTTACTCTTGTTTAAAAGCTGGTGCTGAGAATTGCTGGATCTTTTCCCAAAAGTAACCATGTGGATGGAGCTCGGTCCTAAGACACATGTGGTTGATGCGGCGATATTTTAAGTTGCTGGTCAACCCCATCCTACGTTCCACACCCTAACTCCCATCCATCTAAACCGTACAATCATTCAGTGCTGTACTTGATAAGCTTCCTGTGCAAGGAATCCAGGCTGTTCGACTCGGACAGGGAAAGGAGGCAGATTACGACATCTCACAGACGATCAGGCACACTGCATCGGGTGGAGAGACCGGAGTTTATTTTGAGGGCTTAGGTTGAGGATTCAAGGGTTTACGTGGGGGTCTTGGGGTCTCATAGTCATCCGGTGTTTACACGCCGTTGGCCGAGCATTCTTGAATGTCAAGCACCTTTGTGTGTTTTCTAAACTTTCGACATGGCAAAAAAGCTCAGGAACTTCTACCCGTCAGCCTTACGTTGGAAATTTGCTTGCCTCCTTGAAGTACCTTAGTTAGCTTCGATTCTATGTAAACAAGGTGTTGGGTGCATCTCTTGAATTTTTGGATTTAAAGCAGAAATGCGAAGGATCACTTCAAGCACGCCAGAAAACCCTAATCTCTCAACCTTTAACGTCAGATCCCCCAGCAGAAAGACCTGAGGCCTGCAACCTTTCTCTCCAGGTGGCTGGTCAAACACATTGTTAAGGTTTTAGGGTTGCGGAGCATACCGAACCTTACTATACCTTGGGTCATTCCCCCTCCCAGTAACTGTCCTTAAAGGGGCCTTATTAAGGGAGTTCTTATAACTCCTATAACCCATTGTGGTAACAGTTACTGTAAGGGGGAATGACCCCAACTATACCTGAGAGCCTGCCTTGGTGTGATCTTAGGTGCGCAGGGGGGTTTCTTGGAGAGATGTCTTCTTGAGAAAAGGCCCTGGGAATTTTAAAGCCCTAAAACATTCCAGAAGATTCTAAAAATCCAATTATTGCAAATAAGTTTAGAAACTTTGAACTAATTCCACATCATTCCAACCTTCAAAAACATCGCAAAATCCCGCCATGAAAAGCAACCATTCATAACCACCTTGTATGCCCCGGAGTACCTTGAACTGTCTTAGGATTGTCCAGGTTTCAGAGTGACTCGGACATGAACATGCAACGTAGGAGGCTTCTCCTAAACTGTCCGAAGCCTTTCGAACAACGCGAATAACATCACTTCAAAATCCTTGACCCACAGATTCCTGATCCGCATCATCTCACTAGATGGGCAAGCACCCACCACCCAAACCGCCAGCGCCTCAAACCCAAACCCAAGCCTTGTACCTATGCCTTCATGCCCTCAAAACCCACATCCAGCCCCTCTCCTGTTCAGGCAGTTGCAAACTGCCGCAGCCCCAGCATGTCCGAATGTTGGGCTAAATCTCTTCAGCACAGTGCCCTTTGGACATTCAGACGCGGGTGACGCCGGTATCCATTCTTATGATATATCGCAGAAAGCTCAGCTCCAAGTTGGGCAAGGCGTCTCCTTCATTCTTGAGACATGTTCCAAGAAGGTCATTTCTCTTGGGCTTCGGTTCTGGAGCTATGGCTCAGGGGGTACTTTTCAAAGCTGTTTCAGCCACGTCGCCGCTGTGGGAAAGACCAGGTGTCGTTAAGCTTGCCTCGTTTGGTGAGGGAACCAACATGAAGCTAACCCCGCCCGCCCCCTAGAATAATGCAGCCGTTCTCACGCTATATATATATATATATCCATGCCATGATACCTTAGTGTAAGATGCTGCTTGCTTAGTCAGGAGCTAGCAGCCTCAAACTAACCACCTACATGGACTTCAAAGTTGCGAATGCCTGTCAGAACCATTCGGCCCCAACCATTGTTCTCCTACTTGAGCACACATAAGTAAGGGAGTAGGTGTTTAGGCAATGCGTTTGGGCTTCCCAATCTCTGCGCTGCAAGTATTGAGGATGAGTGTAACTACTTCTGACTTCAGAGTTTCCCAAAGAATCCTCTACATCATCTCGAGAGGGTTCAGCAAAGTGATTCCTGACCCGTGTTTTCCCGACGCTCTGAATCAGGGCATCTTTTGCTGGAGGAAATTTTCCCAACAAAAACTTGATTTCGCCACCTGAACCCTAGACCACTGAGCAGCGCAAGTCAGTTGCTCAAGGCCACGGTGGTTGTAGCCACTTGCATCGGCAGCGGCACGGAGATTGTAAACCTGAAGACTACAGGCCTGGTCCTTTTAGATGGGATTCACAAATAGAGCAGGACATTCATAAACGCAGCATGGAATGCGTGAGGAGGGTTTGTATCCATCGTTGCGCCTGCACGGGCTAGGGCTATACGGATTCGGGTTCAAATCTTTCTGCCTTCGCAGGGGCAATCCTAATATTCTCGGGTGAACGAGGTGGACGCCGCTGGCAAGATATGGCCAAAGCTCTTAACATTGACTGTCCAGGCAGAAGCGTTGAAAGTCCAAGTGTCCAAATTGATATGTACCTCGACCCTCAAAATGTGTTCATAGCAAGCCCCTGCTCAAATTATTTACGATCTGATTCAGGTCTTTGGGACCGTAGGGACAAGCCTACCCTCCATCGACATTGCAGCTGCCAACTCGGACCACGGAACGACGATGTTCTCCATGCAAAGCATCCCAGAAAATGATCACGCCATTACCATTCACGCGCAGCCAGCACCAGCTGTCCATGCGGACATGCATCGCATCAATTGACATTCCTTGACCTTGGCCCCAAAAAACAAGATCGCGGCGCGGTGTCCGCGAATCGCAAAAACCCTGGCAGAACAAGTCTTCACTGAGGCGGCTCGTTCCAGCGCGTCTTGGTTGATGAGCCTTGGCATGAACCCTTATAGTTGCGAAGTTTCTGCTGCCCGGGCGACAGCTGTTTTGGGCTCATAGCTCCCAAGAAGGTTGCCTGAAACTGGTTGACTTTGCATCAAGCATGTTGCCTTGTCCCCAAGGTGCAGCTGCGGTAAGAGGGAAGTTGAGTTCTGAATCCTCCGCAAATAGTGGGGCAGCACTTCGTTGAGACATCGTCATATCAACATGTATTAGTCCAAGTCATGACTGGCACTCTTTTGAGTTACAGCGGCGCGCACGAGATGAGTGTCAGTCGGACCTTGCACTACCGATCTTGCGCACTCTAGACTCAGGCTTTCCAGTAAGCCCCCAACTCGCCAGGCTTCAATACATCCCTCAAAGCAAGCCCAAGAAATCCAGAGCTCAGGAATGTACCCAAGCATGTGAGCCTGCTGTGCTTGTGGCACTTGGCCGGCGCTGTGAACAGGCCAGGCTTAGGGTTCAAACTTTCTGACGTGATTTATGGTAGTTTCCCAAAATAAGGGGACCCCAATATAGACCCCAAAATACTATAGTCCTTATTATAGGGACCCCAAAAAAGGTACCCCTAATGTTGGAAAACCCCCATATTCCCCTCAAGGAAATACACCGCCCACCTCTAAAGGATATCAAGGTACTGTAGCGAGCAATTGTTAGGCTTCTTTGAGGAATCTTTGAGGACATGCCTAAGTCTTGCCTAAAGGTCTCCTTGTAGGGCCCCCTTACCGGAGCGACTGCCTTTATTAGCGTGTAGGGGGTTAAGATCAGGTAGAGATAAGATGATCCGTTCATAAGCAAAACCATACTAAAACAAGAAGCTACCCTCAAAAACAATACCCCAAAATGGACGCCTTCTAGCGACCCGATCCTAAAGCAAAGATGTGGAGCATTCAGGCGAGGGACTTGTCAAAACGCTGCAAAGGGACACGTATGCCAAAGCTTTGTATAACAATAGCGCCCACAAGAAAAGCTCTGCTCATGATTTTTGGCTTAGCTGCTTATAGTAACTTATTCGGCAGCTCATGTGGGTTCCTTGTAGGTTCTTTTTTAACTTCGTCAGGGGTCTACCAGTTGAGGTTTAGGGAGTCGGGCCTAGCGTTTAGGATTTGGGGGTTGGCACCAGCATCTCAAGTGACGCAACTCCACGATAGATCCCTAAATTCAAATTGCAGAAAAAAGCCAAATACATCAAAATCTTGCCATTTGGCCGGCACTAGTCGTTCCCAAGCTCATGAACCTTGAAAGCAAAAGACTTACATCTACAGACCAGGGGGGGTTAGCACAAATTGAGTCCACATGCAAAGCCTGGAACCCCCAATTGGAGGAACCTGCAAGCGCCTGCCATGTGGCCACAGGTGCTGAAATCGAGAATCTTAGGTGATCCTTGTACAACTCTTGCAATAACCCCATCATCAGTACCCGCTAGCCGGTCATTGAAGACCGCCATATCGTCCCCAGGTAAGCTATAGTCCCAACTCCTAGTATCCCCTTAATTTAATAACCGCTGCAATGCTCCCCTATATAATCCCCTATATGGGAGTTTCCCAAAATTAAGCGTACCTTAGTGGGTGTCTCCATTACAAGGATTATAGTATTTGGGGTCTATATTGGGGTCTCCTTATTTAGAGAAACTACCATAAAACCTTCCCTTCAAGGATTTTAGAGTATTACTCAAGTCTCTTGTTCCAGCTACCCATGGAGAGCAAGGTCGTCTTGGTTGGAGACCATGCTCAGCTTCCAGCTAGCAGTTAATTGGATCCCTAGGGCTCCAAATAGCCCAAGGTAGGTAGTATTTTTAGACTTTGGGGCCCAATGTAGGCATTACCTATAGACATGGAGCCCCAGGGATGTTTTTTCTTGCTTTTTCCGGAGGTGAATGAAGGGCTGTGAGGCTTGGGGTTTTTGGCATGTACTGTAAAGCCTGGAACTTAACCGCAGGTAAAGTGGATACGAAGGAATGGATCCTTGTAGTAGTCCCTATATAGCCCATTATATCGAAGGAAGGGGGAGCAAGCCCGTCAGGGGCCGGTTTGGATGTCCGGGCAAGTGTCTTGAGCAAGAGGCGTGCTAGCATCCTGGCCTACATCTAATCAGCCAAGATAGTAGGCAGGCCTTCTGCTATCAGAAGCTGCTGAGTCTCTGATCAGAAGTTGCTGAATCTCTGAGTTGCCTTTTCGTTCTACATCCTAAATCCCAGCCCAGCCCTGAAAGCTGTCATGCCAGAGGCTTCCGGCTACCGTGCTCTCCAAAGCAGCTAGCCACGAGGGTCTAAGCACCAGCCTCTTCGAGCGAATGGCAGCTGGGCTTCAGTGAATTGGTAGGGCTGAGGAGTCGAAATGCGGCCGCCCATGGGTTTTTACGCAGGGCCTATGGAATCCACTGGGCGGTTTAGCGGCTTTTATAGCGCCTTGCATGTGGAGAAACACAACCACAGACAGATTTCCTCACATGAAGCATCATCGACCCCGCCACACAGTGCACACATGCACATCTGCTGCAAGCGAATGGAACTTGGTCTTCGTATCTTACTTTCTGCCCCTATTGGTCTGATGCGTGGCACTTTGTGTAGCAGAAGATGCTTGTCCCGCCCATGCAGTGCAGTATTGACAGCGAGTCCTGCAGAGGAATCTGTAGTACTGTAGGGGGTCTTGAGAACACTCCGCCGCCCTTCTAGACAACGGGACATCACAGGTATACTTGCTGCAGGGCTAAGATGTTTCAGGGCGTGTGTTGTACAGTTGAGTAGCACTCCAGACTTTGGGCTTGACCGGAGTGGGGCAACCACAGAGCCTGAGAAATAAGCTCGCTTTAAAACCAAAGCTTGGAGCCTTCAGCGCTAATTGAACTCCTAAGCCTTGGCCCTTTCATCCCTCAACCGAAGAAGCCTTTCAAAGTACAAAGCCCATGTTGCGTAGATTCTCTAAAGATCGTATGGGGAAAATACCATTGTCTTCGCATCCAAGTTGGTTAAGGATGAACGCGCAAGCATGCCGCGTCGCGCCTGAGGCTAATCAGAACTGTGTCGAGCCTACCGTGCTTCTGGAGCAGCGCAGAATGCACAGCTTCTTATCGCAGTGGTTTTGGGTAGGCTTTGTGGCTCTGGGGTCAAGGAGTTAGAGTTGATGCGAGGCTTGTCGCTTAACATGTGCACATGCAAGACTGCAGAAGGTAGCGGGTGATCCTGTGAGAAAATTACAGTAAGTCCAGAAATTGGCGACGGATTGACCTTCGTGCGCACCATGACGGCCTTTGCTTCAACCTCCTTACGCGAAGCTAGAGATGCGGGGTAGGTTCTTGTGGAACTTTCTAAGTATGTGGGCCTTCGTTCGCACGACCTCAGCGCAAGCAAGGAGTACTAGCAGATTGGAAGTAAAGCGACCGTCAAGTATTCTTTTCTAGCGTTTAGGTTTCAACACAAGGGCGGCATAGCAAGTCATGACACGGACCTCCATCAAGGGACTCTGGTAAACTTTGCGACCCAGGCTCCATTGCAGAGTTTCCCAACAGCGCTTTCTATGGAGGCCGGTTGAAATTTTTGCGGGTTCTTGACTGCTGTTTTCGCAACTGACGAGTTGCTGGGGGCAGTCAGGTACCGCGTATAGAAGGGGTTGTCCTGTGCGTCTGGTTCTGAAGCCATGTGGCCCAGATTTGCAAAGGGTTTTGGATTCTCAGCGCTTGTTGCCAAAGATTCCACGACAGGAATACGTGCAACTGACGGTTCATGAGCGGCACTTCTTGTACCTCCGTCTGTGCAAAGCTGGCGACCTGTAAGTGGAACCGTTATGTAAAAAGCATGTACGATGTACAACCCGCAGAAGCCCCTTGGCACGGGGCGTGTACTTGAGGATGAGTTTCATGAGACAAGTTTTCGGTGTGCTGCTGCTTGACGGGACGCCATTATGTGTCTTGTCCTCAATCATCAGGACGGCTCATCAACGCTGCAGACGACGCGAGTTTGACTGCCATTCCGGGCTTCCCCTGGCCAAGTCCTGCCACCTGCCCAACTCAGAGCCCGAAGAATGTAATGTTTGTAGGTGTCTGCAGACCATGGCAAGAGGAACAAAGACGGAAGGTGTGAGACATAAATCAAGATGCCGCAGAGGCACAAGGTGCCCCAAAACCCAGGGTGTTTGGATGTATTTTCCGGGAGGGTTGGCCTGTGCCTTTCTGTTTTGCTGGACTTGATGCTGCCGCTGCAAGCGCTATATAGTCTCTCATGATCACCATAAGTACCCTGCTAGAAAGACTACAGACTTTTGGAATCTAAAGCCTAGGACCTAGGAACTATGAATATTGGCTCCTGGAGCCCCTGCAGTAAGCTCTGTCCGAGGATTGCCGTGTTTGCTTCGTGGACGTCTCGCAGGGGCCCTCCATGCTGGAGGGCCGACGTGGATTTTCGGCCTTTAACGTTGCGGAGGCAGAGTCCTGCGGGAAATGTCCTTACCAGTCCCGAGAAGATTCTGAGAGTCAGCTTAGCGACCAGTGCAAAGCTGCTATGCTGGAGGGCCGACGGGGAGTTTGGCCTTTAACGTTCAGAGTCCCGCGGGAAATGTCCCTACCAGTCCCGAGAAAAAGCAGCCAGCTTAGAGCTGGTGAGGCAAGTTTAGTGCAGACGCGTAACACTCACGTGTAATTACCCCGGGTGCTCATCCCCTGCTTGTAAATGATCTAAATTATCAGCTTCTTAGCTGCAGGCAGAAACTTTGGTGGATGTTCTTCACAGCATCCTCAGCGCCGGTTACCCCGCAGAGCAGATTGTGGTGCTGACTGCCTACTTGGCACAGAAGCAGGATGCCATCGGCTGCATCGGTAAGTTTATAATGTATAGCTGATAAGCACGGTCATAAGTGAGGTGGCCTTGGGTGTGCTTTGGTTTGCATCGTGCTTGACCCATTCGAACCCCAAGCGGTCCTGAAAAACACTGTTGCAATAGGGGCTCTTGTTTGCCAAAGCCGTCGTCACTATGTCATGTATTTTCCTGTAGGTGCCACGAAAAATGATTTTCTCAGAGCATCCTCTCAAGCTGCAGGAGATCAGACGAGTCTTGCGAGACCGCGGGCTGAGCAACTATCTGCAGCATGTGGCCGTGGACACAGTGGATGGCTACCAGGCACGCTGCCACAGAGGTCCATGTTCTTCATTAAATTCCAAACGCTGGATGGTAGTCTCTATAATCTATAAATAGGCGACCCCAATATAGACCGCAAACACCCAAAAAGGTATCCCTATTGTTGGGAAGGCCTACTCCTGCAAACCACAATTCAATCCCACACTCCATTTCATGGTCGATTCTTTTCCATTTGGTTCTCCAAGCCTGGGCAATATTTCCCCTTCAATATCCCTAGTTTTGGGAAGCCCCAAGCCCGAAACCGTATAATAATCCCGAGAAATACAGCCCTGTAAAGGGACCCCTTCTCTTGGCAGGATGAACCCTAAACCCTCAAGCCTAAACCCTTAACGCCTGAAACCCTAACCTCTAAACCCCAAACCCTAGACCCTAAGCCTAAACCCAAATCAGGGCATGGAGCAGGGCTTGGTACTTTTCAGCGCCACGCGCAGCAACGAGTCTCGTGCTCTGGGACCCAGGGTGGCAAATCCTTTGGCATCTAGGGCCTTCTAGGGGTTAGGGATTTAGGGTTTAGGGTTTCGAGGTTAGAGTCTAGGGTTTAGGGTTCAAGGTGGGGTATGTAGGCGTCTCCCAAACTTGGGGGTACCTGTTTGGGGATCCCGAAATAAGGATCATTGCGTAGGAAAGGTCTATCTTGGAGTCCCCCGATTCTGGGACACCACCATGTAGGGGCAACGGACAAGAAGATGGACACTACTATAATGATGAGGATGTTGCGTTTGGGGCTTTGGACTTGTCAGCTTTGTTAAAGGCTCAGCCCTTCGGGCTTTGTCGTCTGAGATGAGGAAGTAAGGGGTCAGGGTGTCAAAAGCAGATAGGCGACCCGACTTCATCTTAAATAGTGCAATCTAGAAATCTCCGAAATGTTTAAAAGGTGGTTGCGGGTCTCGCTTCTGAGGGCCAGCTGTACAGGATCCCTGTGCTGGCACCAAGGGCGGACGGATTGTGAAAGGGAGGGTGAGGGATATGTGAGATCCTGCATTGAGGGTTTGGCATAAGCAGCGACAATTTCGGGCTTTATACAAGCCCGATTTCTAACAGCCAACTTTACTGGAAATACTCGACGTGCAAAGATGTCTTACTGCTACTTTGACGTTTTCCTGCTCGATCCTTGGGCTCCCAAACCATGAATAAAGATTGCCTGCTGTGGTCTCCAATAGTCTATGAACAGGGTTAATAGATATTACCTACTTGGAGATATCTGGATCTCTAGGGCAATCAGCCGAGTGAGGATTTTTGGCCGACGCCCGTCGCATGAACGTCATGCTGACTCGTGCCAAGCAAGGCCTCTTCAAGTTTGCCGGGGATGTTCTGGGAACTTAGAAGCTGATAGGGTAACCTTTACGTAACTTTTTTGAGGTACATACATCCTCAGGGACCAAACTTATAATCTTCAGGTTTTAGTTCAGCAGCCAGGAACATGTTTTTTGGGGTTTTGCTTGTTTAAAACAAATCTCCAATGGGCAGGTCGAACTCATGTCTTTCCAGGACAGGTTCAGTTCATTGTTTTGCGGACTGGTGTTGCTTGAGTCTTTTGGCGTGTGTTGCACAACATTCATGATGTTCCAATGAATATGACCAGGAGGGTCTTCTGTTCATAATCATTAAGTTATGCCTCTACCGCATTTCCGTGTACCGGATAGGCCTGATCATCTTCGGCAACGCCGACACGCTTCGTTTGAGCGCCTTGGTTGCCAAAGTGTCCTTGTCTAAATATGGCAGGCTTATATGAGGGCTATGTAGACTGTACTTGGGACTTCCTCGGCTTTCTACTGTGAAGTAGATCAGGAATCATGTTTTCGGCTGGGGGGATTATCGTCCCTATATAACCTCTATAAAACCTAGTAATATTCTATCTACTTAAGCGGGACTAAACCTTAAAGCCTAAACCCTAAACCCTATTCTATCTACTTCAGGGGGTCTATATCTCTATTCCGCATCTGCATTCTCAAAGCCGGAGAAGGATAGGAGCGGAGACGGTTGCATCTGGCTTGGCCTACGGTTGGAAGCCTGCATTGCAGCAAGCAACATGAAACTTTAGGGTAGAGGTTATATTGGGGTTATATCGGGATAATTAAAAAAATAAGTGGAAACTACCTCTCTTTCTTGAGTTTCGCTTGCGATGTCAGATGGCAAAGCTCCTGACCTTCCATGTGGACTTTTGCGGCAGCGGGTAGTCAGGTCGCGGCTTTTGCCGACTTCGCACGAAGCCTCAAAGGTCTGTTCCAACGGTCTGCAGGGGTTCAGGGTCCAGCTCAAGTCTCATGTGCCAATGGGTGCAACCCCAAGGACCATTACGGGTGGACATAGGCGTCCTGGTAGTTTAGCATAGTCCATAATCTATTCCCCAATAGGGACCCATGTGCATTGACTATCTGGATCGCATTGGCTATAGCTTGTCTGCCTTTACGTACTACCCGTATATGAGCCGGAGTCTAAACTCCGAGTATACCCCTTAATATCCCCTATAGTACTCCCCAATAGAATCGCCCGTACGTCTCCCCTTTAAGGAATTCAGCCTATAGCTGACATAGGCCCTAATCTGAGGTGAGTCCGCGCAATCCAAATGGCCAGAGTGGCTCTCGTGGGAAGCTTGGCCTACAAGTTCAGGTAGGGTTTATTTAGGGTCAAAAGCCTGGGTCTACTTACTGGTGCTCAAGGGAGGGTTGGGGAGCCCTGTTTTGGGGGTATCTTACAATCTTTTGTGATGCTTCGGTCAATATGCATTCCAAATTTCTATACGCGGTATATGCCGTAGGAAAGATGGACGGAGCAGCATGGTTGGATTCCATACGAGGGCTTACCCAACTGTTCCCTGTACCTCGATGGCAGGTGCGCAAGCTTGGAATCCTTACTTGCTAGGCTCACCCTGTAGACTTCGAAGTGTCGGCGTGCGTGCGTTGTAGTGGTCGTGGACTTGTATTCTGGAATTTAGCGTGCAGCCAGGGTTCCGTACAAAGGCAAGCGGTAAAAGTCAGGTGCTCGTGCTAGTTTAAGGCTATGACTCTGACTTCCCAAGAACATTTTAATTTCATGGCACTGTCCTGAGAAGGTGACAGCTTTGGAGTATACATCCCTCCTGCTCTTAATTATTGGCGCCGTTCTAAAGGACTGGACGATGATTTCAGTGCTAGTCCTATGTAATGTTTCGTCATTGCGATGACAACTTTGACAATCATGAACCTGAATACCTACGGTGGATACTAAAAATCATGCATGACCGGTCGTACTTTATACCTTGGGGATTATGGTATAATTGTATACTGACATCATGCGGGATTTTCAGTATCAACCGTATGACTCGCATGACTATCGAAATTTCAAATTCCCACCTAACAGCCAAGGCAGAGGGTAGAGAGTCTGTGATGGCGGCGGAGCAGCTGGCAGAAAGGATGCCTGGCAGTCCAAAGACTCCTAAAGAAGCCCTAGGGATCCAAACAGGACCTACTGAGGGCACTGAGGGCCCCAAAGTCTGTAAATATTACCAGTATTGGGCTATTTGGATCCCAAGGGAGTTCTAGTCGAAAGTCTTTCATGGGAGCTTCAGAAAATCAGTTGTCCCATGTCAGGAGACCACTTCCAAAAGAAACTCCCCTCTGTAGGAGTGGATGTGAAACAAAGGTACAGCTGCTGTTCATGCAACAAGCATGTTGATCAACTGCCATGTGGGGGCTAAAAGACCCCAATGTGACTAGACCCCAATGATCCCCAGTGTGTTTCCAATCCAAAAAAGCAGGCCCCTGATTTCCGCAGAGCCTCATGTATCTCTGTGAGCCTTGCAGTCCAAGCTGGCTTGGCAAATTAGAGCTTAGAAACTTATAGCATATGGCCAGGTATACCACCAATTTTTGACTTCAAGTGATCCCCCAACCAGAAATGCCCGCTGTCGGGTAGGTGCAGTCCTAAGGACTTTGTACCCTGGAAAGCTTTTCCTTTCCGTATGTCCTGTGCTATGCTGAACTGAGGATCAAGCAATACGCGGTTGACGCTCAACCAGCAACGTCCGCACAGCCAAGCTTGGAGGAACTGCATTCGCATAGCAATGCCGCTGCAGGGGGTTAGCCAGGATCCCTCATTTGTCTGAAAAGCCTTACCGACCATAGCATACATTGTTTAGGACGAAAACTGTCTTGCTTCGTCGTCATCGCTGTCATCGTCGTTGTTGCTGCTGGAGCTGGGTGCTTCTGCTTGCGGTCGTGCTAGTGGTGCTGCTGCTGGAGGCTCTGCTCCTGCCGGCATTGTGCTCGTTGATGGCAGATGATGGCAGCCTCAGTAGCAGCGGCAGTGCCCATTGCAGAACCTCTGCCCATCCAAATAGTAGTAGCAGCAGTCGGATGCAAAGTGGTGCCGGTCGGACAACCTGCATTCACTCCGCAGCAGCTGATCTATGACATCCTGGGCGATGACTATGATAACGATGCGCAAGGGGATTGGGATGCTGAAGACGCAAATGGCAACGATCGTGGCGCAGATTGCCGTTGAAACGCCAGGGGACATACTATAATCGCTTATGTAGAGGTCGCTTGAGGATAACTGTTGGTGACGGTGTCGATGATGACGATGAGAAGGAGGGGTGACGGATCATGATATGGATGATGATGACAGTGATTGTCATAATCAAGGAACCAGTTTTGTCGGTGGTTGGGTGGTTGGGCTTGAACAGAGTTTCCACATTCGAGACACTCTTTGCGAGGACACACCATGGCCCAGTACCACACCTGCTTCCGGGAGACAGCCAACAGGCCGATCTAGTCAATACCCAGCGGGGGAGGGCTTCTTGGCAGTACAGATTCGATTGCAAGGACCCCAAACATGCAGACCTCTGTATGCGTGTGTACGAGAGCCCTAACTTACTGAGGTAGCTCTACTTGTGCCTAGGAGGCCACATGGACGCACATTTTGGTTGCTGAAGTCCGCAGCATGCATGAGATGATGAACTTTGTGCATCCGCTGTAAGGAGCACGGTGTGAGTTTCTGAAGAT